CAGTGGGACAGGAGGAGCTCTGGGGCTTGGCTGTCCCACCACAGGGCCCTGATGTGAGACCCCCAGATCCCAAATTCCCTGAGGGATCCCCCCTCTTTTACCCCAAATTCCCTGAGGGATCCCCCCTCTTTTACCCCAGATTCCCTGAGGGATCCCCCCTCTTACCCCACAGGAGCTCCTCAGGCTCCCACAGGTTTGCTGCTGATTTCTGGCAGCACAGGACACCAAGGGGACACTTCAGGGTCTCCTTCTAATCAGAAACCCCTCAGCGTGGCAGAGTTTTGGGGATTTTTGGCATAGCCCTGTCACTAAAGCCAGCACAGCCAGGGCTGGCAGGTCCGTGAGGAATCACCCAGCTCTCTCCAGAGCTCTGTCCCAGCTCTGGCTGTGCTGCTGGGGGCAGTGGGAAAGCTGGGAGATGAATTCCCTGGAGCTGTTTTGGGACAGCCACCCACGGCCACGCTCCCTGAGCCCTGCCCTGGCCAGCCCTGCACCCAAATCCCCAAATCCCGGGTGTTTTCTGCTGCTCCTCCTTCGGGTTTACAAACACAAATCCTACAGCAGAGCGCTGGGATTTGGGGCGTTCTCCCTAAAACCTGAGGAGTGGGAGCGTTGTTTTCTCACAGCAGCACCACCACTCTGAATAAAACCACCGGCAAGTGAAATCTGGGAATATCAGGTGTTCTGCACCTCGTCCCGCCGGGGGGAGCTTAATTACCGAAACAAAAATTAACTCATTGGCGCTTCTCCCGAAGGCCGAGAATTCCATCCCAGGCACTCGGGGCCGGCTGATCCCGGGGTTTGGAAATGCCCAGCGCCCCCGTAACCACCGGGAATTAGGAAATCCCAGCCAGGAGAGATCCCGCAGGGGATCCAGCCCCGCTCCCGCACCCCAGAGCCGGACGGGGGGTACTCACTCCTTCTTCAGCGAGGGTTTCCTTCGGAAGGAGCTCCTGAAGCCGCCGGGAGCCTGCGGGACACAGGCGATGTTCCCCATGCCGGGACCGCTCCGGGACCGCTCCGGGATCGCTCCCGGCAGCTCCTCTCTCCCCGCCGGGACTCGAGTGGGTGTGGGCACAGCCCGATCCTGCCCCTCGCTCCCGCCCCGCGGGCTGGGAGGGGCGAGCCCGGTACCTGTTCCCAGGGAATTCACCCCGAGCCGGCCGCAATTCCCGAGGCTCCGGCAGCTCCGAGCTGCGGCCGCACAGGAACCCATCCCGGAGCGCTGTCCCGAATGGAATTCGGCCGCCGCTCGGGCCGAGATAAGGCTGCAGAGAGATAAAGGCGGTGGTGGTTGTTTAAGCATTAACAAAAATCTCCGGGGTTCCAAAGGCCGCTCCCAGCCGGGTTAAAAATACAAAAATAAATGGATAAAAAGTATCGAACTGGGAACGCTTATCCAAATCTAGGAATGGTGGGAAATGGATGGAGGAAGCAAAGAGCAAAAGGAGATGAGCACGAGCAGAAAAAGGAAAAAAAGAATTTTTGTAGGAGAAATGCTTTAAAAGGAAGGGAACTGAAGATTTCTGACCGTGCTGCGAGCGACTCGCTGCGTGGAAATACAAACAATAAAAAGGAGAAGTTGGTGACAAAAGGTAAATGCAGACTCAATATTTCTGTGCTGAAAAAAAAACAACCCAGGAATTAGGAAGAATTCCCAGCCATAGGAAAGGAGAAAGCCTTTTCATTTTTGGGTGGCTGCTAAGATGTAAACACAAAACTTGAATGCTCTGGATCCAAAAATAGAGAGAATTCAGGTCAGAAAGTTTGAAAGAGCTGAACACAAAGGGCTTGGGTTGCTGTTGCAGTAAAGTCTTGCAGGACCACGGATTTGCAAAGAAATTGCATAATTTAAGAGGGATATCAGCGTTTCCACGGGTAAAATACCACCCCGGTAATTATGGGGTTGCCAGTTGCCAGTAATTCCTGGGAAAATGATGTAACAGCTGTGAGGGAGTTGGATTAACTTTGAGAATTACAGGAGGAGAACATAATTAATACAAATCAACACGGGGCTGTGGAAATCAGATCTTGTCAAACCGACTGAATTGATGGCACGTTTGAAAAAAAAATCCGATTTAGTGAACATTAATAAATAACATAAAGGATGTGATGTGACAAATCTACAGGTTATTTTAGGAGGACTCTGAGAGGAGATTTTCCTGTTGGAATCAAGCTGGGGTTGACAGACACACACAGGGTGTGTTGGACTGTTCCCATTTGAGTTTTACCCTCGCAGTAATATTCCCCAAAAAGGGATGGCACGGTCAGGCCGCACTCGCCAGGAGAGAGCAGCTGAAATCAGATGTGCCATAAAATTTCTCCCCATCTCTGCCCTTTGAAAGCAGCTCCTTTATCCCCCTCCCCTTTCTGTCCAAAAACCATTAACCCTTCCTGGCCCAGCGAAGCACCAGGACACCCCTCCGGAGGGGCCCTGGTAGAAATTCCGTGATTTTCATGGCAGGGCTCGCTGGTGTGAGCTGGGAAATGAGGCTGTGACGGGAAAGCAGCAGCCCAGCACCTCCTGTCCATGGTCAGACACTGCAGCAAACAGCCCCAGCTGTGCTTCACGCAGGAAAAGCTCCGTTCCTCCTGGATCCGTGGCTAACGCGGTCAGGCCGTGACCACAAACGTGCTGTTCCTGCAGTGTGCTGCAAATAAAACCTCCTGCTCGGAGCAGGGACACAGCTGCTGCTGCTGTCACAGGTCCTGTTTGCTCGTGGGACACCCCCGCTCACAGGGCCAGGGGGCACCACAGGCTGAGGACAGGATTGCCACCAGCCTGAGGGCACAGAGCTCTCCTGGAGCCACACTTCTGCTCCCAGGACAGCCTGAGCCGGAGGGAAGCAGCGCCGGGACTCCGGGAAGGCTTTCAGAGCCCCGCAGTTATTTATAGGAGGCAAAGCAGAAGCAGGAGCAGCAGGAAAGGGAACACGAGGGGCTGCAGCCGGGCCAGGCATTCCGGCTCCCCCTCGGGCCCCAGGGCAGCTCCTTCAGCCCCTGCAGGACACAGCATTCCCCTCCCTGGGCAGCAGGATGGCACCAGCTGGGCCTGTCCCCAGCCACGGGGACAGAGCGAGGGTGGCAGCAGGAGGGGCAGCACGGGGCTCCTGCTCTGCTCCACGCAGGGAGAGCTGCCAGGGAGCCCTGGCGAGGCCAAACCGGGGCTTGGTGGCACCAGAGGTGTAAATCAGCCTGGCTCTGGAGCCTCTGGGCTTTTCCCACAGGGGCCCAGCACCAGCAGCACCTTTGTCCTGGGATCAGGGGAGGGTGACACACTGGGGACAAAATCCCCGCTGTGAATACAAAGCCCCCCACACCCACCCAGGCCCCCAACAGCCTCAGCTGAGCCTGGGATTGGGCAAAAAGCTGCTGCTTTTAGCTCAGCTGTGCCACAGCAGAGCATTCCAAACTGGTTTGGGCCCCTCTGGCCTCCAACACCCCCACCAGCAGGGCCAGTCCCAGCTGGAGCACAGTTCTGAGCAAATGCCTCGAGGCCTGGAGCAGCACCCTGGCAGGTGAGAGTTCACAGAGTCATCCCAAGTCAGAGGGGATCCAGAGTCCAGCCCCTGCCCAGACATCCCAACAACCCCACCCTGTCCCCAAGAGCGTTGTCCAAAGACTCCTGGAGCTCTGGGACCCCTTCCCTGGGGGGCCTGGGCAGTGCCCAACACCCTCTGAGGGAAGAACCTTTCCCTGATCTCCATCCCAAACCCTCCCCTGGCACAGCCTGGCTGCTCAGAGCAGATCCCTCCCCTGCCCTGGGAAGCAGGGAGCAGCCCCAGGAGGCAGCCAGGGCAGGGAGAGTGAAGGATGCACGGGGCAGGATCCGGTATCCAAGAAAACGTCTTTATTGTACACGTTGGCTTCTATTGCTTGTGTCCCCTCCCCAGTCCCGTGTAGTGCAAAAAATTCAGAGAAACAGAGTTCCACATAAATAAAGTTACAGAGAAATCAAAGTGACAACGCTTGGACATGGATCTGGACCAGGTGTGCCCAGCAGGGAGGCCAAGGCAGCCCCCAAATCAGGGCAGGGGCTCCTGCCTGGCCCTGCTGGAAAAACCCCCAGGGCCGGAGCCCCCCGGCTCAGGGACGCTCCTCTGCTGGGAATTCAGACAAGGAACACCTTGGGTGAGACACCACGAACTAAAACTGGCAAGGAAGCCACACAGAGTTGTTCTCCTCCCCTCAGACAGGGTTGCTACGCACAGACAGACAGACACAGACACACGTCCCCTCCGAGCTCTCCTCCTCCTCCTCGGCAGGGGACGTGCAGCACCAGGAGCAATCCCACCCTGGCATCTCCCAGGGCAGATGCTGACACCTCGTGTCCACACAGTGTGGGTCGGGGGGCTCGGGACCCCCAGAAGATGCTGGGGAATTGTTTTGCCCTTTCCCTTCCTCCTCCCTCTGGCACAGGGAAGCAGTGAGCACCTGCATAGTTTGGGCAGCAGAGACAAGAGGCTCTCTCCTCCCGGCTTTCCCTGCCTCAGGCTCAGGGGATATTGCTCAGGACCCAGCCAGGAGGGACAGGAGTCGCTGTGCCCCCGTCCCTGGTGCTCAGGACAGCCTCACACACCATTTGCAGTGTGAACATTCCGACGCAGGCCAAGGGCACGTGGCACCACAACTCCCCTCAGCTGCTGCATTTCTCTCTTCCCTCAGGTTTTGCCCCAAGGCACAGCTCCCTCATTCCTTGTTTGAAACCAGCCCTGTTTCCCCCTCAGCAGCTCCTGCACTGCCCCTCCTGCCTGGGCTCCACTCTCCCTGTGTTCCTCTCTCCTCCTGAGCGCCTCGGGCCAAGCCCAGCTCCAGCCCCTTCCACCTCTCCATGGCTGATCCTCCTCCCAAGGGGACCCTGGAGCCAGGGACACCTCCCTGTGAGTCCAGCAGGAAAGAGAAATCCTGATGTTGCTCACAGGAATGGGATGGAAAGGGTCAAGAGCTCGCTCGGGTGGAGACACAAGCACAAAACAGAGGGAATTCACCGATTTCATCATTTTTTGAACAAAGCAGATTCCTCTGACCTTCCTGGGGCAGTCCACATGGACCAGGAGACAGCTGCAGAGCCTGGACACTCCCCTGCAGCACAGGGAGACGGGAGCTGCTGAGCTGTGACAGGCTGGGGCAGCGGCAAGGGGACAGAAAGAAGATTTAGAGCCTGTTCCAAAAGCCAAGAAGCTCAGACTGTCCTTGGGGAGAGGCTGGAGGGAGAAGCAGCCCTGGTTTCCAGAAGCTGCTGGGAATTCCAGGTGTACAACATGAGGCACTGTGAGTGGGCTGAAGGATGCCAGTGGGCTTGGAAAACCTGCAGGCACCTGTCCAGGGGAAATCAGACTGCCAAGAAAAGGATCTCAAGTTGGGGAGCCCCTGTCTCATTTCAAACTCTTCTTTCTCCCCCCCCAAAAAAGAGAAATCTCTTGCTACTTAAAAATTCAGGCCCACAGGTACCACAGGAGTGAAATGTGAGCTCTGTGAGTGAGAACTGGGGAGCAGTGGGGGGAAAAGGAGAAAGGAATGAGTTCCAAACAACTGGAGCATATTTGCAATGCTACATTTGAACACAATTGAGGTACCAGTGGTTGAGTCGTTCCTCTGTGGTGTGGAGAGCACCTGATCTGTGCCTCAGCTCACGGCTCACACACACAGCACACCCTGAAAACACCACACCACGGGGGCCCTGGCTCTAGGACAGGCCTTACAATGCTAATTTATCCAACCTTTAGTTCATTAAAGTGGTTGCTTCATTGTCAGGGAGCCGCTAATTGGAAACGGTCCCTCCCGTGCTGCTTTTGGCATCTCACACATGCACACACCCCACCCATCCAGAGAGAGCCCAGGGCACAGGAATCATCTCCTCAACAAATGAGAAAAGGAACTGCATCCCTTCTGCTGCCTCGAGAGCAGAGGGGATGGGGAATACCAGGGCAGAGTAAAAAATAAAGGGATATGAAGTCATATCAGCGTTCAAATAAAAAAAAAAGGGCAAATAAAAAAATTAATACCCAAAAAAGTAATGCCAGGCAATCCTCCTCGTTCAGAAGGCTGGGCTGTTCTTTCTCCGAGAACTGATTCCTTTCCACAAACCCAGGATCTGCTTTGCAGAGAGGGGAGCAGCAGACAGGCCAGGCCAGGGGCAGAGGCACAGCCCTGGTGCCCGGGCCAGCGATGGCACCGAGGTCCCCGTGGCCACCGGCCCCGCCGGGCACGGGCCGAGGCTGAGCCGGGCTCTCGGTGCCCCAGGGCACCACCGGAGGGCTCAGGATGCTGCGTCCAGCTTCGCCTCCGACCCTCCTCATCCCGCGGGGCTGTGCCTGGGGCTGCTTCTCCTGCTGTGTTTAAGGCATCAGAGACACCCTGGGAGCCGGGCAGCGGCCCCGGAGTCCGGAACAGTGCAGGCTTGGTTTGGCTACAGTGACATTCAGGAGCGGCCGTGTCCCCCGGGGCCACCGCGGGGCTGGCAGTGCCCGGTGGCACGGCTGGAGCGCGGCAATCCCGGAGAGCAGCGACGCTTCGGGCTCCCCGTGCCCAGAGGAGCTTTTTGGGGGATGCTGGATGAGTCTGGCAGGGGGGAGAGCCCCCTCTTCTCGCCCTCCAGGGAGGGGCCGGCCCTGGAAGCACATTTGGTGGCCCTGGTGACCCCCACGGGTGTCCCCAGAGCAGGGAGAGCCCCCCAGAAGGGCTGGGCTGGGATTTGTGCTCCCTGCTCAGAGCGAGCGGCTGTCCTGCGGGGCCAAGCAGGTGCCACCTCTGTCCTGCGGGGCCGGGAAGGTGCCACCTCTGTCCTCTGGGGCCGGGTGGATGCCACCTCTGTCCTCTGGGGCTGGGAAGGTGCCACCACTGTCCCCCCGGGCCGGGAAGGTGCCACCTCTGTCCCCCGGGGCTGAGGCACGGCCGGGCTCGGTGTCAAAGGCTCGTGGAGGACACGGAGAGGGTGGGCGAGGAGGGCGGGGGGAAGTTGAGGAGCTCCAGCACAGCCACCCCCACGCTGCTCCGGCGGGTGAACATGCAGGACGCCGCCACCCACTTGTTGGTGCGAGGGTTGTACTTCTCGATGGAGTTCAGGCTGGAGCTGCCGTCGTTGCCACCCACGGCGTAAAGCCACCCGTCCATGGCCACCAGGTCGTGGGTGCTCCTGGAGGGACCGTGCAGAGAGCGCGGGGGTGAGGCTGAGTGTGGGGGGAGCTCAGCACCCCGGGGACCTGCCCAGGCTGCCCCACAGACACCCCCTGGCAGTGAACTCTTGGGGCACAAACGGGCAGAGCTCACAGATCTTCACCCCGACACTCTCATCCAAACCTCACCAAACACCGAACCCTCTGAGCCCAAAATCCTCGGACCTGCAAGCCGTAATTCCTCCCGCAGCCCAGCAGTGTCTCTGTGGGCTCAGCCAGCTCAAGCCCTGCTTCTTTACAGCCACACAAACTGCTGAGGATAAATCCCTGTGCAGAACATCCCTGCTGTGCCCTCCTGGCACACCCTCCGGTCCCTCTCAGCACCGCAGGAGCGCGGTGAGCCAGCCACAAGCCCTAGAAACCCTCTCTGTGCCCGTGTTTATGGCTTGCAAGGCTCAGCGAGGTGAGATCCCCGCTGAAGCTCCAGAGGGGGCACAGCCCCTCTTACCTGCGGATGTTCATGGGGGCCACGCTCTCCCAGGTGTTGGATTTGGGGTTGTAGCGCTCCACGGAGTTAAGGCAACTGGTGCCATCATTGCCACCAGCCACGTAGAGCATCCCCTCGAGCACGGCCACGCCCGCGCTGCTCCGGCGGCTCAGCATGTTGGCAATGGGGGTCCAGGTGTTGATCTGGGGACAGGGAACCCATCAGCCACCACACAGGGCATTTCCCACACATCCCTGCCGGGTTAGCTCTGTGGGGTCAGTCCTGCTGTGACCACACAGCTCCTGCCATGACAACCCCTCCAGGGGGACCTCGTTTCTCTCCTCCTGCTCTCCCACAGCTCCCAAGAGGAATCTCCTGCCTGGCTCAGGAGAGGACAGCAGCAGCTGGCAGGAGCCATCCCAGGGGCACAGAGACCCCCCTGCCAGGCCACCAGTTGTGTCCCAGCTGAATGCCAGCCCAGCCACGGGGCTTGAGCTGTATCTATTCCCAACCTGTGTGAGTGCAGCTGGGGCTTTGCAGCTCATGAAAAGCCTCCAGGACCTTCTCTTTGATCTTCCTGCAGTGAGTGACCCTGCTGGAGCAGAGCTGCGTGTCCCTGGGCACAACGCATGTCCCCAGCCTGCCACCCTCCCTGCTCACCACGCTGGCTGTGCAGTCAGCAGGAGCTCAGTTGGGAGCTGGGAACAGCTCAGGGCAGGGACAGGATCCCTGCCTCCTGCAGAACTGCAGGCAGTGGGGACAGAGGGGGTTCTGGTGGCTGAAACCTCATGGAGAGCTCCCACAGAGGAGCTTCTGATCATTCTGCTCAGGGCTGCACCCTGGCTCTCTGTCCCTGCTGATGCCCCTCCATGTCACAGCCATGCACGGTGGGTTGGGCCCTTCCTGAAGAGGGGAGAGGCAGAAGAGTCACCCAAAGCTCCTGGATTTACCTGGGGCTCGTACTTCTCCACCGTGGCTAAGTGCGATGAGCTGTCGTAGCCCCCGACTGCATAGAGGTTGCCTTCTGCAAAGACAGCCAGGGGGGCACAGGGATGAGCTAAGGACACGTCCCTGTGCCAGCACAGCCCCCACAATGGCACAGGTGCCACTCTGGAGGTGCCCACACTGGTCTGGGCTGAGCCCCCCTGCCCCAGGCAGCTCCTCCCAGCACGGCCAGCCCGGCTCCCTCCCCTTCCAGCGGGAGTGGGGTGAAATATTCATCAGGCAGCTCCTGTCAAAGCTTCCCAGAGAGCTCCTTCTCCTGCTGCTTCTTGACCTCCTGGTTAGGGAGCTGCCAGTGCTCCCTGCCGGAGCCCCGGGGTGTTTTTAGAGGAGGAGGCTGGAGCAGGGCAGTGCCAGGATGGGCTGTGGCAGGCTCAGGAGCTGGGGATGGAGGGGAGGCTGGAGCAGGGCAGTGCCAGGATGGGCTGTGGCAGGCTCAGGAGCTGGGGATGGAGGGGAGGCTGGAGCAGGGCAGTGCCAGGATGGGCTGTGGCAGGCTCAGAAGGAGCTGGGGATGGAGGGGAAGGAAGCTCTGAGCCAGCAGCAAGAGCTGAGAGCAGAGAGCAGGGCAGGGGACAGGCACGGTGACACCAGGACAGGTGGGAAGCGTCCCCAGGGAGATGCAGCTCCTGCTGGGGTGGGAGTGGGGCTGGGATCACTAAAAGGGACTGTCCTTTGATCAGTGAAGGACTGATCAGGCTATCCCTTCCTTTCCAGGGACAGGGGATCATCCACAGGCAGCCCCTTGCTCCAAACTAGAAGGGAACAATTTGTGGATCCCCTTGGGAGCTGCCTCCAGAGTGGGATGAATCCCAGTTATTAGGGGGGCTGAGGAGGGCAGAGGCAGGGAGCACATCAGGATATGGCACAGGGGGCAGGAACTGCAGCAGAGCAGCAAAAGGAAGCCCCAGCAGTGCAGGAGAGCCTGCCCAGGACCCCCAGCCCCCATGCAGCACCCACCTAGCGTGGCCACGCGGACGTAGCGTCTCCGGGTGCTCATGGCAGCGATGGAGGTCCAGGTGCCTGTCAGGGGGTCGTACCTCTCTGCGCTGCAGCAGGCAGGGACACAGGGACAAAAGGTGGGACACTGGAAAAGCCCAGGTCAAAGCTCTTGGAGGGGCAGCTCCCAAGGGAGTCGGGGATAGACAGGGGAAACAGAGGGAACTGACACAGGCTGGGTTCTGTTGGGGCACAGGGCTACAAAGTGGGGATTTTTTCCACTGGAAGAAGGAGCTGGGCTGCAAAACATCTACTCAAGGGTGAGGAGCAGGGCTCCCAGCTTCGGGGGCAGCACATGCAGGAGCAGGGAGGGCTGGAGCAGGGCAATCCCTACCTGTTGAGGCACGAGGCCCCATCGTACCCCCCAGCAGCGTAGAGGAGCCCGTGAAGGGCTGCCACACCCAGGCAGCTCCTCCTGGTGCCCATGGACACCTCGGGCTGCCAGGAATTGGTGACAGGGTCGTAGGACTCCACTGTGGCCAGGTCAGAGGTGCCATCGTAGCTGCAGGGAGAGAGGGGGAGAACAGGCTGCTCAGAGAAGCTGTGGCTGCCCCATCCCTGGAAGCGTCCAAGTAGGACGGGGTTTGGAGCAAACCGGGATGGTGGAAGGTGTCCCCGCCCATGCCAGGGGTGGGATGAGATGAGCTTTAAGGCTCCAACGCAAACCAGTCTGGGATTCGAAGGGAAGCGGGAGGGAAATGCCCCATTTCAGGAGGCAGACTGAGCTCCCACAGCGCAGGGACGGGGCTTTTCCGTGGCTACCGCAGAGATCCCGGATCACACTGACTCCAGGAGGCCCTGCTGAGCATCCGTGCTCCCAGAGCAGCCGCTGCCACCCTCCCCAGCTGCTCCCTGCCCCGTGCCGTGCCCCCTTACCCTCCCACGGCGTAGAGCTTGTTCCCGATGGCCGCGACGCCCACGCGGGCCCTGCGCGTGGACATGGAGGCCACCATGTGCCAGCGGTCCGTGCGCGTGTCGTAGGCCTCGCAGTCGCCGTGGATGGCGAACAGGCTCCCTCCACCTGCTCGGGGAGGGCAAAGGGAGCAAACATAGCCCAGAAAACCCCGGGCTGGGCTCAGGGCTGGGGTTGGGGGGCGGCAGGGCCTTACCCACAGCGAAGAGCACGGTGCTGGCCCCCTCGCAGCGCCGCGGCCGCGTCCGGCTGTTGCTCAGGACCCCTCTCTGCTCGGGCATCAGGTGGTACTTGAGGGCCTCGATGAGCAGGTCCTTGCACTCCGAGTGGTGCCGCACCAGCAGCTCCGTGTCCACGTTGCTCATGAGGAAATCGCGGCTCAGCAGCGGCAGCCGCACGCACTTCATGAGCTGGGGGGACAGCAGAGCCTTGGGACACGGGCACGGGGCAGGGGGACAGGGCTAAACTAAAAGGGGACACGCTCAGCTCAGAGATCGGGGAGAAACTCTTTTCTCAGAGGGTGGTGGGGCCCTGGCACATGTTGCCCCATCCCCAGAAGTGTCCAAGGCCAAGTTGGAGCACCCTGGGATAGCGGAAGGTGTCCCTGCCCATGGCAGGGGGTGGGATTTAAGGTCCCTTCCAACCTGGACTGGAAGTGGTGGGACAGGGACCTGCTGTTCCTGCAGCTTCCTCCAGCCATGTGCCCACCCAGCCCAGGCACTCGGAGATGGTGGGCAGAACCAGGCCCCCTTCCAGCACTCTCACCTCTTTCCCAGCCACTTTCCCCCTTTCCCAGCACTCCCTCCCCCTTCCCAGCACACCCTCACCCCTTCCCAGCACACCCTCACCCCTTCCCAGCACACCCTCACCCCTTCCCAGCACACCCTCACCCCTTCCCAGCACACCCTCACCCCTTCCCAGCACACCCACCCTGGGCACGTGCTGTCTCCTGCTGTCCACGTCGTGTTTGACCCAGCTGAGCACAGCCCTGTACACCTCCTCCTCCGAGGGCACGTTGAGGCTGTCGCTGGAAATGAGGTCCAGCACCTGCAGGGTGGGGAGGGCAGTGCTGCTTGCTGGGGACTGGGAGGAAAGGAGACATTCCCAGCTCCCGGCACGGGGCCCAGTGGAACAGCAGAGCTCTGCCTCCCGGAGATGCTGCGGGTTCCAAACAGCAACTGGGTGTCCCAAGGGCAGCAGGTGCAGCTTTGTGGGGACAGCTCTGACCTTCCTCCCTGTGCTGTGGCTGAGGCTGCTGGAGTGCCTGACAATTCCCATTTCTGTCAGTGCCATCAGGGCTCTGCTGGCATTTGTCCCTTCCATATTTCCTGGGACACACCCAGGAGCCCTGGCTGCTCCCAGAACTGTCCCTTCAGCTGCCCAGGGCTGGGCAGGGGGAGATGTGAACCCTCCCCTCGTTGTGACCCTCCCACTGCCCCGGGAAGGAGTGAAGGGAGGTCTCTGGTCCTGCTGAGGGACCCCACAGGTCAGTGATGCAGAGCAAGGACTGGGAATTGCTCCTGCCCAGAGAGACGAGCCAGGGGCCACACGGGCACCACATGATGACCAGCAAACATTAGCTGTGCTGACTTAAACACCCCAGCCGCATGCCCAGGGCAGCCAGGACCTATTCCCTGGGCTGTGCTCCCAGAGCCAGGGCAGTGTGCTCAGAGCCCACGTGGCAAGCACCAGCGACCAAAACTACCCCCTGTCCTACCCTCCTACCCTTATTTCCCATGGGATTCACCTGCTCTTCCCGCAGCCTGACCAGAGTGGGGCCAAAGCCCAGAACCTGGGTACAGCCCCCTGCCAAACCCCGTCCCCCCAGCGCAGATCCCTCGGGCTTTTCGCTCACAGACAGAGCAGGAAAAGCTTTGCTGCACCCAGACCTCCCCACTGCCAGCAGAGCCTCACCTGTTTAAGGGGCAGCAACATGAACTCCTCTGTCTTGGACACCTCCACGAAGTGCTGCAGGACGTACTTGTGGGCAGACTTGAGGAGGTCGCTGCAGGAGTGCGTGTCAGCAAAGCCACGGATGCCCAGGCAGTTGGAGGGGTCGAGCTGGCTGAGCAGGAACTTGCAGCAAGCGTCCCGCACACCATTGAGCTGAAGCAGGCTGGCAGCAGGAAGGAGGGTCTGGCACGGTGGAAAAGAATTGGGGAAAAAGGGAGTTTCCAGGGCAAGGAAACGATTTTCACCCTCGTCACACCGTGAGTCACGAGCAGAGCGGGTTTAGTGAGCACCTCCAAGCACAGAAGCAAAGGAAGGACAGAGCACTCCTGGTTTCTGAGGTAAAGAGCAGCTGGGAAGGACTCCTGTAACACCCCCCAGGGCCAGGAGAACGGCAGGTGCTCAGGAATGGAGCTGGGAACCGCACAGTGCTTTGAGGAGCCGCCTCTGGGAAGGGAAGCAGCTAAAGCCCCTGACCACTGCCAGACCCAGCTGCCACCACAGGAACAGCTGGCAGTGCTGAGCAGAAGGAGAGAGGAGTCCCCAGGAGGCAAATGTGCTACAGAACAGCTTTGTGGAGAAGGGGGATTTGGGGAAAAGCTCCTACCTGCACATTCCCCTCTCCCACCACGATCTCAGCCGTGTAGGCGTATTGCACCAGCTGCTCCAGAGCCTGGGGGTCGATGTCATGCAGTGTCACATGGGTCTGGCGGCTCTCACTCATCTCATCTGGGGCAAAGGACACCAAAAATGAACAAAAAGCCCCCCAGCAGGGCTGTTTCCCCACAGGAGGATGCGTGGAACGAGCTGCATCCACCTCCACATCCCAGCCCAGGGAGGCTTTTCCTTCCAGCTCTAGGGAACGGGGACCAGGACTGGAGGAGGGACCCAGGATCCCGTGCAGGGGGCTGAGGGCAAAGGGAGTCAGCGGAGGGGGTGACACGGGGGATTTAACCATGCATGGAATGAGCTGCATCCACCTCCACACCTCAGCCCAGAGAGGTTTTCTGCCCAGCTCTTAGCAAGGAGAAGCTGTAGGTATTGGGGGCCAGGACAGGAGAAAGGGCACCAGGACCCCTGTGCAGGGAGCTGTGGACAAAGGGAATCAGGGAAAAGGATGATTGAACCATGCATGGAACAAGTGGTTTGTTTCTGGAAGGTTTCCTGCCCAGCTGTAGGGATTGGGGGCCAGGACCCTGTGCAGGAGGGGCCGCCAGGATCCTGCACACAGGCAAAGGGATTCAGGGAAGGCAGCGAAATGAGGAATATTCCTGCTCTTACTCACAGAAGCGACCCATGAAAGGGCAGGGCAGTGAGAACAGGGATGGGGAGAGGATTTGGAGAGGGGAGGGCTGCGAGCAGGGCCAGCCTGTCCCTGGGGAAGAGAGGACTCTACTTGCTTGTGAACATGGCGTGGAAGTAGGGGCTGCACGACGCCAGCACCACCTTGTGGGCCTTGATCTCCTTGGTGGCCACGTGCAGGACGATGTCGCAGAGCAGCCCCCGCTGCCGCATGCGGTTCATGCACACGAAGGCGTCGTGGTAGTGGCGTTTGGAGTTGTGTGAGATGCTGTGGCCATCGCGGTTCAGGAGCTGCACTCCCCCCTCCATGGCTGCGGCGGGCAGGGAAGGGGACAGTCCCTTCCCACCGCCTCTGCGATGGGGGACAAGCAGAGGGTTAGCCTGGGCCTAAAGAGGCCACCGGAGCACAGGCTGGGCACACGTAAAGGAATAAAGTGGGGATTTATGAAAAAGCCCTTCAAAGGATGCACCTTGGGCAGTGCAAGAGCCGGGCTGAGGCTGCACCAAAGATGGACCCAAGCTGGATCCATGATGGACCCAAGACGGATCCATGATGGAACTAAAGTGGATCCAAGATGGACCCAAGCTGAATCCAAGATGGACCCAAGATGGACCTAAAATGGGACCAAAATGGATCCAAGATGGACCCAAAATGGACCCAAGATGGATCCAAGATGGATCCAAAATAGACCCAAGATGGATCCAAGATGGATCCAAGATGGACCCAAAATGGATCCAAGATGGATCCAAAATAGACCCAAAATGGATCCAAGATGGACCCAAGATGGACACAAAACGGATCCAAGATGGACCCAAGATGGATCCAAGATGGACTCAAGATGGATCCAAAATGGACACAAAATTGACTCAAGCTGCACCCAAGCTGGACCCTGGGTCAGGAGTTTTCACTCTTTTATAAGTTTTGGTCCATGTCCACATTGGGGTTAATTGCCCAATCACAGCTTCAGTTAATGAAGTCCCATCCTCCCAGTTTGCTCCATCAATTCGCTGTTTACACTTTCTGGGCCTGAAGCTGTCAGGTGTCCTTGGTTCTGGGGCTGGAAGGGATTGTTTTGTCTGACTGAACTGTCCTAAACTGGTCCCACTCCAGATAAAGTTCAGAGTTATATCCTACTGCAGCACAGAATCTGGAAAACATGGAAGCTAAAACTGAAGGCATCAATCCAGGCTTTAGCCCTGGGTGATCCCTGTGGGAGCCACCACAGCTCAAACACCCCGTGCTGACAGCGACCCTGACCAGGGGAAATGTCACTTGGTTCAAACAAAGAGGGGAAATTCAGGTTCAATATGGGGAAGGAATTCTTCTGTGTGAGGGTGGGGAAGCCCTGGAATGGATTTCCCAGAGAAGCTGTATCTCTGGAAGAGTCCCAGGCCAGGCTGGATGGAGCTTAGAGCACCCTGGGATGGTGAAAGGTGTCCCTGCCCGTGGAACCAGATGGTTTTTACAGTCCCTTCCAACCCAAACCATTCTGTGATTCTAGGAAAACAAAACCTGCCTGATCAAGGAACGTTTATTCACGCAGAGATTTCCTCCCCCAGGTGCCGTTTGCATCCAGGCTGCTCCGAAAGGCCTCTGGCTGCCTCTGTGCCAGCAGCACCCGAGAGCTGGGGGGGCGAGGAGGGGATGACTGAGCAGCAGGAGGAAGGAGGAGGAGGCAGCAGCAGGGAAAAAGGCAGCTTGAATCAAAACCGAGCCTGCAGCTGCCCCCGCATCCCTGCGGCGAGAGAATCCCCTCAGCCTCCCGCTCCTCGCTCCTCGCACACCTCCACATCAGCCCTGCTGAGCCTAAAAATAGCAGCCCAGCATCCTGTGCCTGCTCAGCCACGGCTGCAGCCAGCTCTTTCCTTTCTAAAGAGCAGTTGTAGCACGTACGAGAGTCTGGGGGAGGAAGAAAAGATGAATAAACATGTTTCCTGAGCGGGGAGAAGCCTGCAATGCCCTTTTCTATTGGCATCACCCAGAGTGCTACGAGATTCCTCCTCTCCCTGCGGCGGGGAGGGCTCGGGGGCACAGGGCAGAGGCAGGGCCTGCTGGTGCCTTCCAGCAGGGACACCGGGATGTCACCGTGCCCTGGGCAGCGAGGAGGAGCCCACGAGCGTGGTCATGTCCCCCCACATCCCCTGGACACCCCATCTCCTAATTCACATCTGCTGGGTGAGGTGCCCACAGAAAGGAGGTTTTTCGTTATTAGCACCCCTGCCTGGGCTCCAGAGGGTCGGGGTTAAGCTCCAGAGGTCCTTTCCCAGAGCTGCTTTAGGGCAGGGAGCAGACAGAGCTTCCCCACCTCCACCCCCAGCTGCAAGCTCAAGGGCTTTCCTGCTGTGCCTGGGCCGCTCTCCCTGTGCCATCCCTGCTGAGCACAGTCGTCCCCATCAGTATTTCAGTCATGTCCCCGCTCCAGAGCTCTCTCCTGTCCCTCCGGGGGGCTGGGAGCGAGGGATCCGCAGCAGTGGCAGGGCTCGGCAGGGACAGCGCGGGACACAGCTGGGAAAAGGTGGCACTGCCGCTCCTGAGAGATCTGGGACGAAGGGTTTGGCACCCCGGGGCAGCACCCAGCGGGCACAGGAGGCTTTGGGGGGGAGACTTCCAAAGAGTTCCCTTCCAGCCCTGCCACGAGTCCCTGCCCAGCCCTGGGCGAGTGGCAAGGGTGACACTGTCCTCCCTTGCAGTGACCCCCATGGCAGGAGGCAGAGCTGGCACAGGGCTGGCACAAGGCTGTGCCACCCACCCTGAGTGACACCGCCACCGTGTCACCCGGCCTCTGACACGGCCCAGCAGGAAGCAGGACAACACGGAGGTGCCACCCCTGCCACCGGGCTCCACGGGTGTCCCCAAAGCAGGGGACAGTGCTGGCAGCCTGAGCCAGCTGTGCTTGGTGGGTTTTTGGCTCCAGCCTCTCTGAAGAGCTGCTCACCCTCCCAGCAGCCCCATGGGACAGCGTCACCCTCCAGGAGCCCTGGCACAGGGCTGGCTGAAGCCTGGCAGTGGGTACAGTCCCCACTGTCCCCTCTTCGGTCCCACCGTCCCCTCCACCCCACAAGAACTTGTCCCCAGCAGAGCTGTTCTGATTTAATGGCTCAGAACAAAGGATGGAACACCCCAGCGCTGTTCCCTGTGCCGAACTCCCCACCTCGCTGGCAGTGCTAAATATTCCTCGTTTCCTTGTTAGAACTTCATTCCCAGGAAATGAGGGTCTGTGGGATGTAATTAATGGGGAACGCTGCCTGCACCACAGGAGACAGTGGAGCAGTGTCCAGAGCTCCAGAGGGGGAAGGAAGCACAAGCCCACTTTTGTGGGCAGCAGCAGCAGTGCACGTGTCCCCATGGGCTGGGACGGATGTGCTGCCTCCCTTGGAATAACTCTGAGGTTATGGCACAAAAAAAAATCCCCCCCCAAAAAAAAGGAGGCGTTTGTTTGGCTTCTCTGCGCCAGAGCGTGGCCATGCATAACAGCTCTGTTAATTAATGCAAATGATCCCTGCCCAAAGGGAGGCCTGTTCTCTCCACACAAAAAACCATATTTTGCTGGGAGTGAAAAGAAGTGTGCTGAGCAATAAACAGGGAACAGAGGATCCTCCAGGGACAAGTTCCGAGCCTGCCCTTTCCCCAGGAAGGCCCTGGAGAATAGGTTTTTGTTGACAGCCTGGATGGGGATTTTGTGTCTGGCAGGAGGGCTGGGAGGCAGCAGGGACACATCCTGTGCAGCTGCTCAGATGGTGGGCACAGGGGATCAGGGGACAGCCCCATGCCCGCAGGCCTGACACGCAGTCAAGCTTAAACCCATCCCCTCCATGTGTCCCCATCCCTTTGTGCCACATCCCTGCGAGCCTCTCTCCTGGAAAATCAGCTGTTTGTGCACAGCTCTGCGTCTCCCACACAAGTGCTGCCTTTGGAGAAGGCACAAAGCCCTCGCTGGTGCTGGGATCCGGCTGGCACAGCAGCACAAACCAGGTCTGCAAGGTGGCACCGTGGTGCCAGTCCCCTTCCAGGGCTGGAGCCAGAGCAGTGCCCTCCAAAATGGCACAGCCAAACTCCCCCTGGGATGGAGCAAAAGAGGACCACAGTGGAGCAGCATTTTTTCATCAATAATCAAACGCCAGGGCTGTTTTCACAGCTCCAGCAGATCTGCACTGCCCTCACCCCGCAAACTCGGATATCCCAATTTATGTCTTCTTTCAGAAGGCAAATTACAAAATAAATTGCATTCCCACCTTCCCTGCTCCCTTCCCCACAACAAACACAAGCAGAGAGGATGGGAAGCGTTCAGCTGTGCTGCCCAGAGCCCAGATGCAAAGCAGGCACTAAATCCAGGCAGTTGTCCCCAGCAGGATGTGTCACACCAGTGTCACTGACACAGAAATGAAACGCTCTGGGCTGCAGTCCTTTCTCAGCCCTTGCAGGGCTGTGCCTGCACGCAGGGAGCTCAGGCAGGCACTGGCAGCGTGCAGCAGCTCCCTGGGTTCATTGTGTACAGGCTGGAGAGTCAGCACTGGCAAGGAGGCAGAGGGAGGGAGCTGCTCCGGGAGCAGGGGGATGCTCTGAGCTGCAGATCCTCACGCTCCCCACGGCTGAGTTTTGCGCCTGGACAGAGCTCAGGGCTGAGATTTTTGATGCAGGGAGTGTGGCAGTGAGGGAGCTGTCCCTCCTGGAACCATCCCTGCCTTCAGGAGGGAGACACAAGTGGGGAGCTGGCAGTGCCAGGGCAGCTGGGACCCCTCTGTGGGGACACAACAACACAAATGGGGTGAGCAGCAGGGACAAGGAGCACAGCCCAGCCCTAAAACCCCTCCAAACCTCCTCACCTCCATTCCCTCTGCCCCTACCTTCCCTTGGCGAGCTCCCTGGCATGAATGTGCTCGGAGGGAGCCTCAAGGCAGAGCAGGGCAGCACAGACAGTGCTGAGTCTGCAGGACTGAGAATCCCCAGCTCCCAGGAGGGTTGGGGCTTTTTTTTTTTTTTTTTTTTTTAATGAATTAGGCATAACTGACACGCACTGAATCCTCCTGTCTAGACATCTGCAGAGAAGTGACAAGCTGCCAGGGAGGATGTGGAGCCTCGGCAAGGGGGTGGGGAGGACAGGGAAAAGCTGCACTCCGTTGCCAGCTCCAGGCACAGAGACAGCGCTGGCTCCAGGCGAGAAGGGCACTCAGCACACTGACCTCGGCACAGCCTCCCTGGGCTGGCCCTGTGCTGCACGCTCCAGGCTGGAGGCCTCTCCTAACGAAAGCCTCGCTCCTCGTTACTCCTGGGGAGTTCTGTTGGGAAGCTCCAAGCCGCTCTCAGCCGCCCCAAGAAGTGAGAGGAAGGAGCACGAGGCAGAGGCTCAGTGCCCTGGGACATTGCCATGTCTCAGAGGGATGAAGGGCATCCTCATCTCGGTGCCCACAGCCTTCTCCTCACCTCCCACAGGCAGCAGCTCTTCCTTCAGACACCTCCCAACTCAGCTTTTGTCTCCCGTGTTTTGCAGCCCCAAGCAAGACTCCACGGTTGAGGGATTCCGAGGCATCTGCACCGATATTTGGGTCATTTTCAAGTAATTGGCTGTGAGGGTCAGGACTGGAGGAGGTTTGGGACTGCTGAATTCCCGGGTTAGGGAGAAACAAGGAATAGAAATGGATTCTTGCCTTGAGATGCTCAGCAAAATGTGCAGGTCCCCAGCTGCACTGGGGTTAGACTGCAGCTCCCAGTCCAGCACAAAGCACACCAAAATCAGCAAAAAGAGACAGGAGCTGGCTCATGTCCTGATTCCCCTTCCCAGTGTCCCCAGCAGCCACGGCAGAGGAGACTCTGTGGCACAGGCCTCATCACACACAGCAGGTGCCCTGCCCTGCGGAGCTCCTGCTGCCTCCTGTGACACAATCCCTGTCCCCAGCTCATCTTCCAGACAGGTGAACACAAGGGGAGAGCGCTCAGGCTGTGGGAGAGCTGAGCACAGCCACACTCCCGGCCCCCAGACCTGCTGGGAGCTCCCTCTCTGCAGCGTCCTTGCTCCAGGGAGGGACTGTGTCCTGCAGCCCTCTGCCAGGCCAGCTGCTGCTGGTGACACTGGGCCAGCTCAGAGCGGGTCACCACTGCCCAGCACTGCCCTGGTGTCACAGGACAGTGATGAATTTGGGGAGGTGCAGCAGGAGACACCACCTGGCTCCGAAAGGGAAGGATAACTCCACGACATGAGGCAACAGCTGGAAATGACATGAGAAAGCAGGAAAAAGCACTCGGATCTGCTGGCTGCAAACAGGCAAGGAGATCTTTTCCATGTGGACAGGACAGAAATAATCCTGCTGTCTCTCCAAACCAGGAGGTCACCAGTGGGCATTGCCTGGCTCAGCCCTTCCAGGGCACCCACAGAGCTTTCAGGAATGGTTCCCAAGGCCTCCTCCAGCCTCTCTCTGCCAACACAGACCAGACCAGCTCTGCACCTCCTGCTCTGCACAAGCTCTGAGCTTCTGTGGAGCAGTGGGAAAGTCTTTCCAAGCCAGGAAACAAAAGAATTCCCTCACATCTTCTGGCAAGTGGCAGCACAGGCCACATCCCTGAACACTGAGCTGTGAGGAGCGGCTGACACCATGGCCTTGAGCTCACTGGCACAATGGGGCCCTGCCAAGGCCAGCAGGTCCCAGACCCTGGGAACTGCAGCTGGAGGAGCTCGAATTCCCATCCCTGAGGAGACACATCCTTTAGGGATGGTTTGCAGCAGGCCAGGCAGAGCAGATGGAGCCTCTCAGTCCTCCCAGACCCAGCCTGGCCCAGGCTTTGGGGGCAGAGCTCCAGCTCCTGAGGAGATCCAGGAGGCAGCACTGGGACTTCAGCAGGACCGCTCGAGTTTTGGAGCTGCTGAGCCTGAAACGCAGCAAAGCGAGGACCCAGAGCAGCCTCCCCAGCAGATCTTCAGCCTCCAGAGGACGCCTGCTTTGATTTGCACTCCATCTCCAGAGGCCCAGGCTGGCGCGAGGGAGCAGGGGCAGATGGCTGCTGTCTGTGCTGGCAGAACAAAGACGTCCCACTGCCACCCCCACCGAGCTGACCTCGGCTGGCAGGAAGCACCAGGGACTGTCCCAGCTCCCCGAGATGCTCAGGAGCGGCTCCATTTGGATGCTGGGCTCCGAAGCCAAGAGAGCAGGTGCCTGTTCCGCCTGCCAGCTCCTGGTGTGCTCTGAATTAGCTGCTCTTTGCTGTGATTCATTAATCACTCAGTGCTCAGGAAGGAAACTCAGATCTTTACACCCAACATCTCCCCGAGTCTTACTCACTGCTGTGCTGAATAAAGGATTTCCAGCAGATGTTCCCGGGCAGGGAGAGAAACTCGGGGTGCAGAGGGAAGGGTTTGCTTTGGCTGCAGGGATGAAAACCAAAAGGCCACTGAGGGGTCAGAGAGCCCCAAAACACTGCAGCTGTAACAAACCAGCACCTCTTGGTGCTAAAGGCACCCAGACACATCCACGTGTTGCTGAATCACTCCAGAATCACCTCCAGCAATGCAGAGACCCCTGGAATAATGCTGTGGACAGCAGGCATTGAAGTCAAAGCAGAGCTGGCATCCTGCACAGAGACTCACCAAAGCAAGGCCACTGCTCCTGCGGGCTGGCACAGAAGGGACAGTGCAGGGACAGTGCAGGGACAGTGCAGGGACAGTGCAGGGACAGTGCAGGGACAGCCACCTTCGCCTTCCTTGCTGAGTCCAGGGCCCTGCTCCCTGGAGAGGGAGGCGTTTGCTCAGCCAGCAGAACCAGCCCAGCTGCCAGCCTGGCCTGAGCTCCCGGGACCAGCTCCAGCTCCAGCAGCAGCGATGCTGTGGCTCAAGGAGAGCCCTGTGTCCTGACAGCCACTGCAGAGGCCACAGAAAAGCTGCATCCCACGGCCCTCACAAGTTTCCGGAAAACCCGAGGCAACGCTTCTTTCCCCCGTGCCCTTCAGCTCGGCCGGCCCGGCCAGCACCGAGCCCTCGAGTGCGGCACCGGGGGCAGGGGACACGGCCCGGCCAGCACCGAGCCCCCGAGAGCGGCACCGGGGGCAGGGGACACGGCCCGGCCAGCCCCGCTCTGCGGCGGCTCCCGGGGCTCCGGAGCTGCGGCTTTTCCCTTTTCCAACGGGATCTCGCCAGGACTTGGCAAAGGACAGGGAAGGAGGGCACAGGGATGCTGCCGGTCCCGGGGATGATGCCGCGGTGCAGAGAGAGCGGGCACGGGGACTGAGAAGGGCATCGGCTGTTCCAAACCTCTGCAAACATTTGGGAACGGCACCAGTTGTGCCAGAACCTTTGAAAACGGCTCCGGTGGTCCCCCCGGACGTGCTGCGTGGTACCCCGAAAGCAAACTTGCTCTCCGAGGAGGGATGCGCAGGAGCAGTGCCGGGAGTGATGGAGCGGCAGCTCCTCCGGGGGTCCCCCCATCATCCCCCGGTGAGCCCTCCGGTGTGCCCCCATCCCCGGTGACCCCTCCGGTGTGCCCCCATCCCGTTACCCCTCCGGTGTGCCCCCATCCCGTTACCCCTCCGCTCCCCCTCCTCCCGCGGGTCTGAGCGCCCCGGCCCTGCCGGGCAGAGGGACAGGGGAGGAAGAAGAGGGAGAGGAAGAGGCAGACGAAGAGGAAGAGAAAAGGAGGTGCGGGCGGCAGGGCCGTGCCCCGGCGGTACTCACGGCTCCGGGGCGGCCACGGCCCAAGCCGGGGGATGCTGCGGGTCGCCGCTACACCCGCACCGCTACCGCCGGCCCCGCGCCGGGGATTCGGGGCGGGCCGGGGGCGGGCAGGTGCGCGGCGGCGGCGGCGGCCGCTCCTCCTCGAGCCGGGGCGGCCCCGCGGCTGCAGCTTCCTCCGTCACCCGGAATAACCCCGAGGCGCGGCAGGGGAGGCGCGGCCCGGCCCCGCACGTGTGTCCGTGTGCGGGCCCAGCGCACCGAACCGAGCGGCACCGGCCCCGCTGCGGGCCCGGCACCGGCACCGGCACGGGGGCGGGGCCAGCGGGTGGGGCGGGGCCAAGAGGGAGAAAGGGGCGTGTCTATGGAGACAGGCCCCGCCCCGGCACCGCACAAAGGGTGAGACGGGCGGGGTTATACTGGGGGCGGGACCAGTTCTGGTGGGCGTGGCCTGAGCGGGGTGTCCCAAAATAATTTATGCAGGAAAAGACCTTTGGGATCATGGAGGCCAACCTGGGACCTTTCCCAACCTTGTCACCAGCCCAGAGCACTGAGTGCCAGCTCCAGGAATTCCTCAGACACCTCCAGGGATGGGCACTCCAACACCTCGCTGTGCAGACCCCTCCAAGGCCTGGCCACCCTTTCCACGGAGAAATTCCTCCTGGTGTCCAACCTCCAACCAGCTTAAAACTCTGTCCTCGTGTCCTGCCGCTTGTTAGGGGGGAGAAGAGACCGACCACTGCCTTGCTGCAGGTTGTTGTGCACAGTGAGAACGTCCCCCCTGAGCCTCCTTTCTCCAGGCTCAGCTCCTTAAACTGCTGCTCATGAGACATGTGGTGCCCTTCCCCAGCTTCATTCCCCTTCCTCGGACACACTGCAGCCCCTCAATGCCTTTCCAGTGGACACACTGCACCCCAATATCCCTGCAGTGGACACTGCAGCGCCTCAGTGTCCTTGCAGTGGACACACCGCAGCACCCCAATGTCCTTCCCGAACTGAGCGGCCCAGGACTGGACACAGCACTCGAGGTACGGCCTCTCCAGCGCAGAGAACGGAGCTAATCCCTTCCCCGCCGCCGCTGGCCGCGCCATTCCTGATTCTGTCCTGGGATGTGCAGGACAGAGGGATCGGCCGGCGGGGCGGGGAGGAGGCGGGGCCAATGGGGAAGGGGCGGAGCCCGTGTTGTTATGGGGCGTGGCTACCCATGGAAATATCCTGATTTGCATAGATATGGGCGTGGATTGATCGCCCCGCCCCCGCCGCTCTGCACGCCGGGAGCGGAAGCGGCAGCCGCGTGGTGGAGGCAACATGGCGGCCCCCGGTAGGAGGTGAGCGCTGCACCGGGAACACCGCCGGGATGAGCTTACCCTCACACGCTCCTTTCCTTTCCCTCTCACGCTCTCCTTTTCCCCCTCACACGCTCCTTTCCCCCCCCCACACTCTTCCCCCCTCACGCTCTCCTTTCCCCCCTCACGCTCTCCTTTTCCCCCCTCACGCTCTCCTTTCCCCCTCACACACTCTTTCCCCCCTCACACGCTTTCTCTCCGCAGGAAGCTGGCGGAGCTGAGCCTGGACGAGTTCCTCGCTGCCGGCTCAGACTCGGAGCAGGACGGCGGCTGGCAGGAGGAGGAGGAGAAGGAGGAGGAAGGTGGCCGGGCTCTTCAGGGCACTGCGAGGCGGCGGCGGCCGAGTGGGAAGGCGGCCCAGGGGCTGCAGGCACGGCCGGGCAGGTGAGGGCTGAGCACGGTCTGGGAGGGGAGGCTGAAGGATCTGGGGGCTCCTGCCTGGAGCAAAGGAGCTTTTTGCTTTCCACAGCTCCCTGACAGGAGGGGACAGCGCCAGGTGGGGCTCTGCTTGAAGGGAACAGGGACAGGAGGAGAGGGAATGGCCTCAGGTGCACCAGGGGAGGCTCAGGTTGGACGTGAGGAGGAATTTATCTGTGGAAAGGATGGTCAGGCATTTGAAGGGGATGCTGTCCCCTTCCCTGGAGCAATTCTCAATAACTGAGAAAGAGATTTGTGATGTTTTTTTCTAGATATTTTCATCTATCCCAGTGCAATCTGGTATTTTGCTATTGTGATTTCTTAATCCTTAATGAAATGTTTTTCTTAGAGCCTCAGCAGAACTTTGAGCAGTGAATAAACAGTTAAGTTTCTCCCAGCAGGAAGAAGGGAAAGGCATCTGAACACAAAGATCAGCTCTCCAGGCTGAAGGACAGAGACCCCGAGTTTTATAAGTTTCTGGAGGAGAACGATCGCAAGCTGCTGGATTTTGATGCCTCAGACAGCTCTGAGGAGGAGGAGGCTCTGCACAGACCCCCTGATACACTCGAGGTACCTGCCTGGGACTGCTGGGATCAATTAAATCCATGTGCAGTGTTTGTGTTCTAGTGCCAGCCCTGAATCATGGAATGATTTGGGTTTGAAAGGAACTTGAAAGTCACCCAGTTCCAGTCCCAACACCTTCCACTGTCCCAGGTTGCTGCAAGCCCCGTCCAGTCTGGCATTGGACACTTCCAGGGATCCAGAGGCAGCCACAGCTTCTCTGGGCACCTGTGCCAGCCCTCCCCACCCTCACAGGGAGGAAATTATTCCCAGTATCCCATCCAAACCATTCCTGCTTTCCACAGAGTGCTGGCAACAGCATTAATCAATCAGCCCTGCCTGCCTCCCTCCTCATCAGCTGCTCAGTGAAGGAGCTGGGGCCGGGCAGGAGTTGTAGAAACCTTTCCTCAGTCTCTCCTTCTGGTCTCTCTAGGAAGCCAGTGATGAAGATGAAGATGATGGAGATGAAGAACAAGAAAAAGTCAAAAGAAAGAAAGTTTCCTTCATCCATGTGAGCTTGAAAATGGTGGAGGAATGGAAGAAAGCTGCCCAGGTGAGCTGGGAGTTGCAGCACAAAGCACTGGAGTGTTCTCTGCCCTGCCTATAAAAGGCCAGTTTGGGATTTGTTAATCTGGCACAAAATGTATGTCCCAAGCCCCCAGAGCTCTTGTGCCTTCAGCATGGCTGTAATTTCTCTTGGGCTGCAAGATTCAAGTACTTCCATTCCATATGAGGGAGAAGCTGCAGAAATGTGGCTCAGAAGAGGCCAGAATGATCAAATTTGGATTTTTCATCCTCTTGCTAAGCCTTTGGCAACTCCAGGAGCTTACTTAGTCACATACTTAGTAGCGATGGAATAGCTGAGGGGAATGAAGCTCAAACTGGAAGTTGCTTGCAGTTAATTAATTCTTTCTCAAGCCTCAGCAATTAAAAGCCAATTTTAGGAGAGGTGAAGGCCACTGAGTTTGTCAACCCTGCCGTGATGCTTGGGCATGGAGCTCTTTTTGGCATCAAAGCTCCAGTGAGTTCCAGTACTCCTGTCCCAGTCAGGAGCTTTAGAGTTCCAGGAGATCCCTTGCTTCTCCTCCTCAGCAACCTCTTTTCTTCTTTCCCCAGAGGAATCTCACCCCAAAACTCTTCCATGAAATCACCCAAGCCTACAAGGCAGCTGTGGCCACCACCAAAGGTGACAGTGGTGGCGACCCCAGCAAGTTCCAGGTGACTGACACTGCAGGTGAGGGAAGGGAAATCATTTAGGGGGAGCTGAGCTGTGGGAGAGAGGGGAGATGGGCACTGGGAGGAGTTAATTCACCCTTTCAGTTCATTAAGGAGCTTAATCTTGCTGTGCTGCTCTGGGATCTTTCCTTTCAAGGATGGGTTCTTGGTGCTGTTTCCTTGGAGAGGTGGCCCCTGTGCCTTCTAATCTTTGATAAAAAATTTGAATAGAAGGCAAACTGGGGATTTCTAGAAGGAAATGCTGGAGTTCTGCCATGGAAATTACTTGCTTCAGTTCCTCAGGGACCCCTTTTCCCATTAGGAAAATCAGGAATACATGGACAATCACTTACAAATGCTTTCCTGGCTTGTTTTACCCAGTGTTCAATGCCCTGGTGTCCTTCTGTATCCGGGACCTCTTCCTCTACCTGCACAAGCTGCTGCTCCCCAAAGCCCCCAAGAACAAACTCAAGTAAGTCTGGGGGGGTTGAGACCTCAGGAAAGCTTTGGGGATTTTCAGAGCTGCCTTTGAACCTGGGAAAAAGGTGCCAGCTCTTCCTAATCACTGAATGCCTGATGATGCTCTCAGGGGTCTTCTTTTCTTCCCCCCAGTTGTGTTCCCTGCAGTATCAAACTGCAGGCATTTGCAGAGGATGTGTGGCTTCAGGAGGGTCTGGAATTGCCTGTGCTTGCACTCAGGGTACAGTTCAGACACTGAAATTCAGTTTTCAGAGGAAGGGACCAACCTTTCTGTGTCCCTGCAGTGTCACCAGAGTGTGACCCCAGTTCACTCCATGCTTTGCAGGCAGTTTTTGGTGCAAGGAATTGATCTCTGCTCATTTTGCTGCTGAAATCTGATTTATTTGGTTGGGGTTTTTTTGAAGCTAAACCCACCTCTTGCTCCTTTCCAGAATGGTTCTCCCTTCCACCAGCCCCCTATGGGGAAAGCTACGACTGGACATCAAAGTTTATCTTGGCTGTACCATAAAAGTAAGAAATAGCATCATTTTCTGTTTGTGGGGTCAGTCTGTGCCATGCTGGGCTCTTTAGGATATTTTGGAGTGAAGCAGGTGGGGTTTGCCCCTCTGAAATTTGTGTTCATTGTTTCCCTGTGTTGTTTTGGAATTGTTTGGTCCAGTTAGCAGTTTGGAGGTTCAGAGGATGCTTGGGTCAGAATAGATAAGGCAGTAAAGAAGGGTTGAATTAACATTCTGGCAGCTCTCTGTGTTTTAATTTGTCTGGAAGATTAATATTTAATAGGCTTTAAAGTAGTTTGCAGTCTGTGTTCCTGCACTCTGCATCGTTAATTCATTTTTTGGTGCTGTGATCTCTCCACTTGAGGTAAATACTGAGATGTTCTGTTGCTGATCTCACATGTGGCATCTCTGACTATGATAATGTTCCATCCTATCCATCCAAAATTTCTGGTGTTTCAGAGACAATTTGTGGATTATTTCTGAAGGAAACTCCTGCCCCCACTTAATTTTCTTTTTATGTTTTTTTGAG